TTTAACCAAAGAACATGAGCATGTTCCTTTGAATTTACTCAACTCAGTTAAGTGGAACCAGGTCACATAACACGGTTAAGTAAATCCAACATTTCATTTTTAGAGTGTACGCAGTACTGCACCATAGTTTAATAATATTTAAACTCAGTAGTTCAGTGTTTACAATACAAACATGATTGTATTTTGATATTTCACTATAATATTGTCCTAATATTCCTTTAGTGTTGTAATATATTGCAGTTTAGTGTCAACAATTGCATTCACAATATGGCCTCTTTCAGCACACATACAAACCTAACACTGGGAGTGACTACTGCAACAGCTCCTATAGTCTCATGTTGAACACTATGGGCTTTCACGTGGGAGATTGGGTTCAATCCCAGCCATAAACAAAATATTTCATTAAAACTACATATTTTCTAATTGTCATATTCTCACACATTACCCTCATTACAAACAACTGCTGACATGGCAGGCACAAGCTGGTGCTTGATCAGCAAACACATTTCAACTTGGTCACAGTTCAAGCTGCAGGCAAGGCAATGCACACTTGTTTTTACATCGTAAAAACCCATGTCTAGTTATTATTATTTTTAATCCTAACTGTGTAAACCCATTTTTGCATATCTGGGGGGYAAAAATCAAGTCAAAATATGATATGCTGTGTCAATATTAAGACTTAGCATTTCATAATTAGCATTTAATTGTTCCATAATAAGGATTCAAGGATTCATTATACATCGTCTCATAGGAGGTTATCTTAAAATTCTCACTTTTCTCATTAAAAACATCTCATAATCATGGGTTGGCATCTAATTTATATCATTTATACAATTATAAAATATATAATCTATGTCATATAATATAATAATTTAGCACATCATAATTATACAATAATAATTAATACAATCTAAAAAATTATGATAATTGAGATGTCTGTGATTATGATTTAGCTTTTATCAATTCACTGTGATCCATAGCGTCAGTCAGAGTTGTAAAGTAACTAAGTACAAATACTTCTTTACTGTACTTAAGTACAAGTTTTGGGTATCTGTACTTTACCTGAGTAATTATTTTTCAGCCTATTTTTTAACTTCTACTTCTTACTTTTTCACACAATTATCTGTACTTTTTACTCCTTACATTTTTAAACAAAGCAAGAAGTAGAAAGTTCCATCCATCCATCCATTTTCTGTACACGCTTCTTCCTTTTCAGGGTCACGCGGGTCACTGGTGCCCATATTCAGCAGTCACAGTGCGAGGGGCAGGGTAAACCCTGGACAGGTCGCAAGTCCATCACAGGGCTGACAACTGATATTACCAACTTTTAAAAACTGTTACGGCCAGAGGTCTTTCTTCTATGTTTATACTAAAGCATGGAATGACATTCCTC